CAACTACTGCTGTTTATGTTAGATTTATTTGAAATACGTTCTTTGGGTAAATTTCGGTAGTATATTTAGAGAACTCTGGATTATTCAACGAAAAAATATCATCAAGATAATGGTAGGTATTGTTGAATGTATCAATCAAATGTAGCAATGACGTGTCTTTACTGAGTGTTGTCATAAACTGAGAATCCTAGCAATACAGGAATAAATCTAGCAATATAGGAATACCTACTACCTGTCGATAAACTTTATCGCCGAAACATACATATATGTTGTCCAGGAGAAAAGTTAAAGCTGCAATCATATCTTCACATTTCCAGTAAGTGTATTTAGCATACTTTCCTGCTTCGATACAGAAAATGCTTTAAACCAGTTACAGCAAATAAATTTGCAATGAGATATTTCAAAAGACCATTTAATCAAATATGAAATTTTGTTCTTGATAAGATTATGGGGAAATGTAGTGTAGAGAGTAGAAAAATCATAACTGTCAACAGAATTAAAAGGACCATCAAAAGCACGTATTTTATCTAAAACATTTAACACTTCAAAAATAATTAATACTATTATTTTCATAAGCTTTATTACAAAAGTTAATAACAAGTTCCTTGCTTGATAGTAGTAAGGGAGGTAGTTAGAAGCACTGACAGATTGGTAGTAGAACACTTACTAGATAGGGAGATGAAACGGAATTTAAATGGTTGTTTGTGTAATTTAGATAACCAGTACATAGTCGAATGTTCAAATGTTCGGATGAGGCTTTAAGCTGGGTAGTGGCAGTGATATGCTTGTTTACAATTTGACTCTCTGTGGAGCGTATGGACCTGAATGTAGACGAATTGATTCGTTTTGGAGAACTTCCGTGTAGTATATGCGTCGCACCACTACTACAGTATTGGCTGCTTTGTCTGCCGGTACGAACACAAACCGCTTTGCGAGTACTTGGAGTATATTTTATATTCTAGAAATCGTTATATCATGGACCTTGTTATTAATTTCAGAATTGTTTTCAAAATGAGATATACGATAATTTTATTCAAAAAACTGTTTACAGATTTTTTATCAGATTTTTCACGTTTACACCAATTTTTTCAGTAGGCAGACAAAGCGTCTTTAATGACCTGACGACACTGTTTTCAATCTATTATAGATGGAGGACGATATTTTGGTCCTTTCTTAAGAAAAGTTTTGACCTCATGGTCTTCGACGATGTTGAGGTCTCCTGTAATGACATGACCATAGGGAATATATCTAAAACTAGATGTTGTACAGTCTCAAGTGGATGGAGCATTATTTTCTATATTGACGTCTGATGTAACTTACGTAAAATTAAAAATCAAACTTCTGATGTTTTATTTATGAGAATACGAAATAATTGGTGGCTCTGTATTATCAAAATATTGAGGTATTTGGCTATGGATGGTAGATTCATTGGATATACTAGATAAGTTAATAAAATCAATACCTCTATTTATATATTTTAATTTAAGTAAATGCCGTTTATGAATTTCAGGTTTATCGATACTAGGAAACAGCCTGTGATGAAAAAAAGGCTGTAATAATACGGGTGTATTCATACAACGGCTAAAAAATGAAATTTTATCACACTCCTGAAAAAAGCATATAAATAACTTACTAGTATATGACCCAGTTTGCATATTACTTGATGTCTACCATTATATCCTTTACTGGTTACGATGCACATTTACAAGCATTTTTTTTTTTTTGAAGCATTTTAAAAAAGCTCAGATTTTTTAAAGAAATAAACAGTGCAAGTGAATATTGGCTTCGGTGCCCGAGTGTTCTAAGTAGTCGCACCACTGTATCATTAGCCTGTCAACACTGAGGTTTTGAGTTCAAATTCCGCAATTGGAAATTGAATTCGACTCCAATCATAATTGACAAGGATAGTCAGTTTTCCTACCGAAGTTCAGTGGTTCTCTCCAGGCAGTCAGGTTCCTCCACCAATAAAAACTAACCGCCACAAAATAGCACAATAGTGCTGATAGGCGTGTTGAAACACAATAAATCTATCATTTCAAGTGAATAGCATAATAAATTATTTGTTTATCTTTGTTGATGAAATGTCGTCTTATTGACGTTATCATACAACTCCTTTTACTCATAGGGATAATAAAAGAACTAAACAACTTAGATTGCGCGAACCAACGTTCGAAATATTTATGTCCATATGACATGTTGGCTATGTTGTTATTTACCCATATATTCTATCTTTTATTTTATTTTAGTTGATCACTTGTGACGGAATGTCTTTTGTTGTTCCTTTTTTAAGTCAAATAAATCAATGAGATGTGTAGAAATGCTGGCCCTTTCAGTACACAGGAATTTATTCCGGTTTATGGTTTATGGATACCTTCTGTCCAATTATCAGTTTAAGTCGAATGCTGTTGATGTGTTCCTCGTTTTCTTTCGTGATTGTTTTTGTGTATCATATGGTTCTCGGCTGACTATTGCATTAATTTCTTTTAATATTTTTATATTACATTGTATACATCATAATGGTGCTGCTTACATGGATATCAACGGATTTTTTTAATGTTCAATATCCGCACAATATTATGAAGGGTGATTATATGCAGACAGACTTTATTTTCAATAAATGTAATTGAACTGTCTTTGATGTGTCCTCGTTGGCTTTTATCTACTGATATAATCAATTTAGTTACATTTTTAAAAGTGTCAATCATGATATTTTATAAGTCAAGTGGTATTTGCTATAATGTAAGGAATGCAATTTACACTCTAAAGTTTAATTAAAATAACAACACTCATATGTATGGTATATCAATTTGGACTGATTAAAAAATATGCAATGTATATAGCGTCGAAATATGCTTTTGAAACATAATTTAAAATCTTGAATTAAGAAAACAAATACATGTAATATTTCCAAAAATGTTGTTTTTTGAACTAATGACATTAACATCAGAAAATACTTCACAATAAACTTTGTATTTCCTGACAAATAAAATCGTTTTGATAGGAAATATTTTTCAATTATATCATTCATTCAAGTACAATACAAACAATACGGAAACACGGAGAGCGACTCCATTAATTTTAGTACTCTAAGTTATATCCTTATGTTTATATAAATTGTCGTAAAATAGTAAGTACTGTGTATTTTTATTATCAGTTACTGTATATAGCTTGAGTGGGACTTCTTTTAGTTGATGCACATGAAATCTTACAAGAATAACAAGCTTTTTCTAGAACAATTTACACTCACGAAATATTTTCACTCTGTTTGTTAACAATTTGATTTGAAAGTTTAGTAACAAAATAGCTGTAAAAAATACAAAATACGATAGTGATGTTCAAATAAAGACAAATATGCAAATTAAAGTCATAGTTGTAAATCTGTACATTTGTTCTGAGGAAGACATATAAGCGCATTCAATTTCGGCTGACGAACACTTTATTGTAACACACAGTTATTTATATAAATGTTACGTATTGCCACCAAATGCTAACAATGTCATACTCCGACATTGCTAGAAAAAACACTTTACAGTAACGTTTGTGTATTAAACACAAAACACATGAAAAACACTGAAGCAATTTACTACTAAATGAAATTAAGATACAGGTCAATTATTGTTATCTATTTATGATGTTATGGGCGTTAACGCTTATTGTCGGCATATGACTTAATCAACTACCTAAGCATGTTCATCAGTCAAAGTTGTAAGTTTTCATTATATTTTCTGTTAATGAGACGATTATCCTTATTAGTATCACAAAATAAAGTCGAAGGGATATAATGGCATTTAGGAATATTTTTTAAAGTTATTATGTTTGACTTTCGAAAGTGCTTGAATGGAAAACCAAGTACTAAGTATCGTCTCTCTTTTTCAGGAATATACATTTGTGTAAATAACTTATATTTGTTTTTAACTAGATATTCTATTTGATGGCGAAATTTTTCAAATAGTATTCTCTGGCACACTATTTGTCAGTTTATGAAACAAAATATCGGCTCAAATGAAATAGACTGACAAAAAAAAAACCCATAAAACCACTATCCTTTCTAAAGTCTTATTTGTAATGAATTCTATATATAAGTTTTTTTGTTCCGCAGCCAGAAGATGAAGAAAACATGCAACACTATTTTATTCCTGGTATGGATTTATTCTAACATTTTGACAACAGGTATTTATATCGTAACACGCTGTTTATTTCGCAATTGCATTTTAAATATGTTAACATAATTATTATGTTCGGCTTTGGTATTTTAGATGTAACGTTGCCTGAAAATGAATGCATACCATTATTAAGAACGCTCGTGATCAACAGTTATTAAAAACAAACATATAACGCACTGACATGAATAAATGCTAATCAAACCTTAGATAGTCAACTGAAAATAAATCAGTTGTATACGTCTTTCATTATAGATAATAGATATGTACAAAAGACACTGTGTATACCTGAAATCATGAGTTTGTATGATTTCAGCATTTAACGACCACTTTTTCCATGCTAGAGGTGAAAAACAAGTCATCATTTTGAATGATGAAATTAATCAATGTATGAATGAACAAGAAGCTGAATTCTTAAATATTGTCTTAAAGGCGTTTTTCAATTTATCAAGCTCTCTCACTAAATGAGGTGTATCACAAACCTCCTACGGATCAGCAAATTGATTGGAAAAATTTAGATTACAAAGTGATAATTTCAGTCTTCTAAATATTTTCACCAGTGCTTTGTGAACTTAAATCAAACTGCTACACATCGGGAAAAGACATTTATCAAAGCATCGAAATAAATGACCCGTTCTAATATATGATCAATAACACTTCTCTAGTGGACATTTATTAGATGCCATGTATCTAGTAAGTTATTCTTCCATCATTATTATGAACAAACATTGTTTATTGAGAATTAGCTTAATTTGAGTAAATGTTATATATAATTACTACTCAACAGCATTATTTTTCTATGTTTACAAATTGATATTCGTTCTTTTAAGCTAATGAAAAGCCGAAATACGAATACTTTTCTGAAGGAGAAATTGTTATACTTAAGTGTATGGGTGATGCAAAGAAGATAGATTGGATTGGACCTGCGCAAAACAGTTCAAATCCATCACCTATACTTGCATATGACGTGTTTGGAGAAGAAAAAATATGGAACACGACAACTTATGCAACTGGTCGAGTTATAAATCCTGATATTCCAAATTTTGGAAGACTCAAAATTGTTGATACGGGAGGAAAAGGAGACTTTGATTTACAAATAAGCAATACTTCAATTTTTGATGAAGGTTTCTATAGATGTGAGATAGAACCAGTCAAAGGCAAGCCTATGACTAAAAATTATATTTTACAATTAAAAAGTAAGTACTTTATCTATCTCTAAACGCATAGAATATAAATTTTTCGGGAGGTAAATAAAATGTTTTAAATAGATATATCACAAATAAAAATATTTAAAAATCTAAGATACCTAGGGGTCAATCGAAAATCATTAAGCGACACAACAGACAGCACCGTGTGCAAGGCAAAAACAAAACATCGAAAAGACAAGATACAACAGTCTGCAGAACAATACTATGTTCAACACAAATATTAAACTGTGCGCCACATACTCTACACAAATTGGGAATTGAATTTAAGTGCTCCAGGAGGATTCACTATCGCCTAACACATTGTCAAAATACGATACTACTCTCATCCTAAAATTAGCACCATATACTAGCTGATCTATAAGTTTCTCTTGTCTAACCCAATGACGTAAAACAATTCATAAGTATCTGCCAAGTACCCATTCAAATCTTAAAAAAGTGACCTGTTACGAAAGTGTGAAATGGAACACAGTTAACTCGGCAAAACATGCTAAAAGATGGTCAATACAAAAATAAGACGACAAGATTAAATTACCAATGAGACATATCTTCACTAGAGACCAATATATGACGTATATGATAACAACAATAGGTCACCATACAGCCTTCATCGATGAACACAACTCTTACCGCATGGTAAACTATAAGCCCCGAAATAAAAAGAAACTTATATAAACGACTGGATTTATGTACAAAACAATAAAATAATGATAAACATCAACAAACGACAACCACCGGAATACGGTCTCCTGACTTTGGTCAGGCACATACAGAATGTGGCGTGATAAAAAATGTCTGCGAGCGCTAATCCCCCCTTTTACCTCTTCAGATCGATACAAAGCACAAAATAAGCAAACAAACACAAAAAGACACAAAGTATAGATGTGATATCATTTGCAGTTACTGACAAATTAAAATCAATGACAACTGATAAAATCAAGTTTATAAGCCTAAAATATCAATCAGTACAAATCAACATTCAATTGATCTTTTGCCAAGACGTCGTGAACAGTTAAGGAAAACATTAACTTTTGCAATGCCAAAATATATTTTATTTTACAAAAGTGTATAACAATAATATTAAAATATCTAGTTTTGTTTTAGTTTATAGAAAACAAAATCGATAATTATATCGATAAAAACAATATTTGAAAAATTCATTACAGTGTTGAATTGGTAACCTTTTAAAATAAGTTTATTTAACGGACAGATAAGTTTACCCGAATCGTATCTTAATTTATGGGCTCGATAAAAAACCTAACTGTAAAAATCAGAATCTGCTATCATGTTTGTAATAAGTCTTCTACAAGAACAGCCAAGCTTCCAAACTAAAGCTTTGTATCTATGGGAGATTTTAGTAATGGTTTTAAGAGATTTGAGGTACAGAAATCCTTGACTCAATAATTAAGAAGTAGAACATAGGTTTTCTTCATTCAAATCCGAAAACTCCATTACTGACACGGGCAAAGCGAAGTATTCCCAATTTCAAACCAAAAGGCAAACTGGATATCTAGTTTTGGGGAGGGTTAAAACGCATTTTGTAAAAAAACAAAGTGTGATCCACCTTTTAAGTCTCCCAAACGAAGTTTGTGAAGACTTATTGGTTTTGCTCAGTTCTTTTTATTACTATTATTATTATTAAGGTCTTTCCACTACGTTAGGAAAGACCTTATTGTTTTTCTAATGTTTTTTTTTCCAACATTTTTTTGACATGCCCTCCCCCTGTTTCTTTTGGAGTTATCAAGACCAAATTTAGACCATCGATAGACCTCATCATGAAGTATTACCAGATGACCCTGCCTGTGTAGGATTTCATCATCCCCTTAAGAAGTTATCTCCCTTTTATTGGTTTTTTTTTATATGGTCCCCCTCGTTGTTTTTAAAGATATCATGACTTTATGTGGACAATAGGTAGATCTTATCATGATGTATTACCATATAAGGCTGCGTAGGATTTCATCACCCCCTTTGAGAGTTATATCCCCTTGAAGCAATTTCTTTCATTTGCATTTTTCTTTAAAATTATAACATATAGAATAGATTTTGAAAACGGCAACATGTACAGGAACAGATGGCAATGTAAATAAACATATACAATTTTTCTGTTATCAACCCTTATATGAGTTATTTCCCTTGAATTATTTAACCAAAAAAAATTGTCTTCTAAGGTAAGGTTGTCGTATATCAAAAGAAAGGTCTTAATGTGTATATTTTAAATATCAAATTCCTGTCCTCAAAAAAATAGTTGGATGGGGTTATTAAGTGCAAAAATCAAACTTTCTAAAAGATGGTGTTGTCGCATAGCAAATGAAAGGTAATCAAGTCTACATTATAAATATCTTACTTCCGACTCGAAAATTTAGGTGGATAGGGTCATTAAGTGCGAAAAGTGAAAAGTTTCAGAAGGTATGATTGTCGCATATCAAATAAAAGGTCGTAAAGAGTGCATTACAAATATCAGACTTTAAAGGAAAAGACCCTTCAATTGTTTTACTAGTTATTATTATTATTCTTCCTCTTCCTCTTCTTCTCTCGTTGCTTTTAAATTTGAACTTGCCAGCACTCGTTCTCCAAAACCGCTAGTCAGATTAAATTAGGGTTTCACAATATGTTACACTAACATGTCTAGTGGTACAATCAGGTTTTTGTTTGTGCACTGGGGTTTATAAAGGGGTACTTTGAGGGACAAAACGGAAGGAGGGGTTTACTACAGAACTCTATGGGATTTATTTTATTTTAATTTTCAAATGATTTAAATGAAACTTAAAAACAGTTCGTGTTAGACACAATCTTTACAATTAAAAATGTCAGTCCCTAAAGCAAGTATATTCTGGTTTGTCATGATAAAGCACATCAAATGAAATAAAAGGTTAGTCCACATGTCATGACGATATGAATGATGTATTGGTGAGGTCCCCAGGGGGTCTTCCCCACCCCCAGTGTTCATATATCTCGTTAATGGTCGAGATCCCCACCCCTAAACCATATATATTCTGGTTTGTCATGCCAAGATGGTTTAAATGGTATACAGGATAAGACCCAAGGGGTCATCCCCATCCCCTGTCATTTGAATTTCAAATATCTTGTAAATGGTCAAGATCCCCACCTCTAAACCATATATATACCTTTTTGTCATTTCACGAAGATTTGAATGATATACAGGGTAAGTTCCCAGGGTCACTAATACATATCACTTTACTGGACCGAACCAGTTTTTAGTGGACTTTGTCCAATGTCAGATGACCCTGGGAATGACGAGTTTTGGGAGCTTCGTTTGGGAGACTTCGTAACAGCATCATGTTACAATCATTTCTTATTCTATTTGTTCCTATATTCATATGAGGCAAAATTTATAAATGAGCTTCTTTAGACAACGAAGAGATGCTTAAATTATCATATACCTTCATGTTCCGCTCCATAGATGATGTTCTCTCACTAAATAATAAATAATATGGTGAATATGAAGAACGCATCTACTCCATTGGATTTAAAATAAAGGACACAACATATGCAGTTCATTCTGCCTAATGAATTGACTTGGATATAGCAGTTAGCAATAAAGGCCGGCTAAGAACAGAACTTCACCACAAAAGAGATAATTTCAGCTTCCCAATTGTCAATCTTTCATTTCCATGAAGCGATATTCCAGTAACACCTGTATATGGAGGAGAAATGTTCCCGTTGAAACGTTATTTCAGACGTTGCATTTCATAACATGATTTTCCTTGATATAGGGTTGAGGCTTACAAGGAAACTATGTAGCGAAAGTTCAAAATTGTGAAGCCAAAGTCATCTCTTCGGAAATTTAAAGGACGCCATCACGAGTTGTTTGACCGTTATGGAATATCTGTTTCTCGGATAACGACGTAAATTTTCCAATTGTCGTAGTTACAATCCCGTCCTCAATGTTTCAAATGCGACATATGGAATTAGACTTATCATATAATTTGTACTTATATGAGCGACTTGACCGTTGCCACATGTAGAACAGGAGCTGCTTACTCTTCCGGAGCATCTGAGACCATTGGATTTTTTGTAAGGGTTCGTGTTGCTCAGTCTCTAGCTTTCTCTGTTTTGCAGACTTTGGTATGGCTTTCGAACGGTTTTCGTGTTTTGCCATTGCATTGTCAGTCCGTTTTTGACAATGAGTTTGAATATTTCTTTTGTATTCCGCCTCTTTTTAAAGACTGAACAGTTAAATGTTGAGCTTTCAGTACATTTTGCAGAGTTCTCTCCTGTAAATTCAGTACTGTTCAGACATTTCCCTTGGAGTTAATTAAGCTATTTGCAATCTACGTTGTTTTTTTATAACCTGTATAAAAGAACAATATTATAGAATCACTTCAAGACAAATGTCCGAACAGTACTTATTTTACAGGAATAAAACATCTGATAAAATTTTACCCTTTAAAAGATTTAACGTGTTTATGTTCAGCCCTTTAACAAGATGCTATTAAGACCAAAATGACCGTTTTTAGATTAATTGGAGGTGATTGATTTATTTATTGGTGACACCGTCGTCTTACTCATTGCAATAATAAAACTCTATGATAACATGGATAAGCCGTATTCGGTATTTGATGTCACAAACAAGGAAAAGAAAGATGGAAGACAGTTTTTCATTTTTCTACGGGAACCTATTCGCCTCTTTGATAGGAGAGTTGTTCAAGCATTGATATACATCTAAGTACTAGTTTATTTAATTGTAAAAACAATTACTTTATATGGAAGACATTGTTGCTTTCAATGATAATAAATTACTTAATGATACTGATATTTCCACAAGGAAATTGGTTTCAATTAAATCTAAAAATGACCAACAATAATTGTCCTTTTCTAGTTTTGATATATCAATTTCATAAGGGGACTTCCAAGAAAAAAATACGACGAAAGAACTTATGGTTCATTCCATAAAGTCACTTTTCTTTTATTTTCACGACCATTTTTACGGTGTGTATATTTACAAATATGTATGCCCGTGACTGTAGTGGCTTCTTTCTTCTAAATTTCAATGAACGTAATTGATGTATGACTTGCAAAATATTACGTCAGAGATTTCGTTACCAAAAATTATCTGAAATCCGAATAAAGTATTTCTTTAATACAAATGTCTGTTTTCGCAGTTTGGCTTTACCTGTAGAAACATAATAATATTGTAAATATCTCCGAGCACACATAATATGTGCATACATTTATCTGTCAATATAAAATTAGTAAAATTCATTCGCGTAGTTACTGACCTCAGATAGACACAATGATATGAAGCGATATTACACTAGTTTAAATAAAACTCTCATTTGTTTAAACTCGATTTGATAGAAGAAGTTAAAATAGTAAAACTAGTGCGATGAAACACAAAAATATATAATATTGTTATCAAAACCATAAAAAACATCCGTATAGATTTAAGCCTCTTCTTATTGATACATTGTGATACCGAATCAGAAAATGTGAGAATTATAAATTACATATATCACTGGTGTTTAACTGATCGTGGTACCTGCAGTTACCAAGATCCCAATATGGCGGAGGTAGAAATAGGTAAAATCGTGTTCAGCCAATTGTGTTGTTTTCTAGAATTTTTCGTCCGCCAGGTTGATCTGTACGGTTTTGTAGTGAATGTGTGTTTATAACATCATATATGGCCTCGTTACCAAAATAATAGCCATCGAAAATTGTATGAAGATAATCGTAACTCCGAAGGAAGATAATCGTAACTTGTGATCAAATAATTGAAACGATAATCGTAACTGTAGATTATTTCAATGATGATAGTAATTATTTATCAGTAGCCCCTGCTAACGGACTATTTGATAAAAAGATTCCGTCATGATAACAACGAACGTGGTAGTGCTTTATATTTTTTGTTCACCACCATACTTCAATTTATTAGCATAGATTTTGAATTTGTACAAATATATGTTTAGAAATGAATAAGAAACTTTTAGTTGTTTAATGTTTGAAATAATAATTATAAGATGCGGTATGATTGCCAATGATTGCTTGTAGATAAGAAGACTAGGATGACCTTGTCAAATGCCTTGAAAAAAAATATTAGGCAGTCCGGCGGCAGTTGCTGTTTTATGCTGACCAGACATGTTGCATCTAAATTTTTACCAGAGATTGCTTTTTTAACTGTGCCTTTATGATATAAGTTTTGTCTGATGAATCGTCGTGTAGTAATCCTGCTACTCTTATAATTGTGGTGTATTACTACAAATCTGATCGTTTATGCTTTATATGGATCCGTTTCATGGAGTCAGTACTGCTGTCAGCTTCAATACTTTGTGTTACTATGTCATCTATGTTTTTCAACACAATTTTCTTTTAGTTCACCAGGTTTGGCTCATCAATTCTTTTATATTAGCTTCTCATTTATTCCAGATTTCGTATTCTTTTTTAATGCTCTATTCTATCTTTTGATTAACCTTCTTATATATGACAAACCCCCTCCCCACCCATAGTGACTGAGTCATAGAAATATGGTAACTTTTGGACTTTTCCGACCGCCCGTAAAACCCTTGCCAATGTGGGGGGTCCGTTTTGGTTGTGTGCGGGATGCATAAAAAAAACACCACGTCCGGTCAGAATCTCATTTATAGATAGTTCCACGCTCTCTGCACGTTGAGGACCCTTGAAAGAACTCTTAGAAGGGTCCGTAAGCGACATGTTACAAGGATGATGTGTCCATTCCAAACATATCCTCTATTTCTAGTGGCAGTCAACATTTTTTGACCTTCATCCTGAATTGCTCCTATTAAAGGACTCACCTATTTTAGTAATGATTAATTTTTTTCTCGTCCTGAACATGCATGAAATATTTGTCACTGGACTTAAAGCAACCAAAAATCACTAAATCTATTTTATATCTGCTGCCATCAAGTATATCCATTGTTTTCAAGATCAGCATTAACAGTCGAAAGCGCATTTGGTGCAGAACAATTGGTACCGTTAATGACGTGTCTACCACTGGTTCGATACCCCTGCTGGTGGACTGTAATCGGCCGAGGGTATCACCAGCCTTGTAATCAGTACATCGTTTCTGCCATGCAATTACGGATATTGTTTGGTTAAAATTTGCTGTTCTAAAATATTGAAATTTGTTTAAAAAAGAAATAAATCTACCGCTTGCAAAGTTTTGATTACTTGTCCAGATTTGGCTATATTAAGGTCATTCATTTGTTTTTTTAAGCTCTTCAACGTTTGTATTAGGTTTTGGATTTCAAAATATTATTGGACTCAACTGCAAGCATCACTGAAGAGATAACGTGAGTTGTCAAAATACACATTTGGTGCAGGGAAATTGGTACCGTTAATCTTATAACTACCACCTGGTCGATGTCTTTGATAGTAAACTGTAAGTCCCAGAGAGTAACACTCGTACTTTGGCTTGCAAAAAACGAAAATTGATTGATTGAAATTTGCTGTTATAAAAATCATTCAAATTAAGGAATATATTGTCTTCTTCTTCAAGTATACAATATACTATCAACGTTTACCGTAAATGTTAACTTATATATATAAGACTATATCTACAAAGCAAAACAATAAATTAGTTTAAGATAACCAATCCTTCGATAATTCTGGTCACATTATAAATAAAGACAACAGTAGTATACCGCTGTTCAAAACTTTAAAACAAAATTTGGTTATATTCGCCGTCCCCATCAATAGATAAATGTACAATTATCACTGATAAGTTACAATTGCCATGTCCAATTTACGACTATCAGATAGTTCAGTTACGATTATCATATCAAACAATTTTCATGGAGTAAAGATTATTTTTCTGAAATTTTCTATGGCTATTATTTTGGTAACGAGGCCATATATGATATTATGAACACACACACACACACACACACACACACACCAGATCAACATGATCAACCTGGCGGCTGAGTAATTCTCGAAAAGAACACGTTTTCACGAAGAAATTGACAGGTTACGATTTTACCTATTTCTACCTCCGCAATATTGGGATCGTGGTACCACAGTTAGCACGAGCAGTTTAAAACCAGTGATATATTAATAACAGAGTCAATCATTGACCTATTAGCAACGGTCAGAGTGATCTCAGTTTAAGCGATTATTTTTTCATACATTGTTCGATATTTGTCCCAAAATAACTGAATGACTGCTCCGTTTAAGTTGATTGTTCATTTAAATAATAATTTACATTGTTTTCCCTATTTCAAAGAACTGCCAACTAACCTAACCATCGACTATGAAACGGATGAGAACACGATAATTGGGACAGAGGATGAACTATTGAAAATAGCTTGTAATGTTGAAAGTGGCAGTCCGCCAGAAACCATATATTGGAAACAAAATGGACGAATTCAGCAAATAGGAGGACCAAGAAGGAATGTTTTTCAATTCCGTACAAATCGAACCGTTCACAATTCAACGCTAACCTGTGAAGTAGTAAACGATATTACTAATAAGCCTCTAATAAAGACCGTCCGACTGGACATAAAATGTAATTCGTTCTGCAGTATTTTCAATTTACTATAACCAGACTCATTATACTGTACTGTATATCATATTTCGTGTTTGGCTTTAAAAGTTTGTGCACGTTTTTCTTGCTCAGATTATTTAATACCCAGGTCATATTATCATATTGACATATACCATGCATAAAAAGTCCTGTATGTAATATGACACAATAATAACAATGTTTCAGTGGCAAATATTTCATATTTAATTATTTTTTTACCTATTTTACACGAAATATTCATTGTCATCCAATGATTATTAAAATATCCAAAGCATGTTTTATTATAGCACATACATTTATGTAAAAATAAAAAGACGTTTGCCAGTGGGAATAATGTCAAGTTTATAAATTATTGCCATCATTTACAATTTTCGATTTTTGAAGAAAGGACAAGATTAATTATTGCGATATCACAACGATCTGCATACAGACATATGTAACAGATATCAGAATGCGAGTTCTCATTATTGCGATAGTCACGTGCACACAGTCGCATTAATGGCATTGATAAAATAACATTAACGGTATCAATTTTTTTGCAGCTAAAAAACCTCGCAACAATTTCTGAATTTACAGTACTCTTCCTCAGAGACCAAATAAAGTAGAATTAGCAACTATTCTGAGTACAGGGGTTTGATAACAGTTTTGTTAAAACCTATTATGACCATTTTGGTCACGGGATTCAGATCCAAAGTCATATAAATATGCGATTATCTCTTTTTTATATACAATTATAATTCGATTATACTGATTATGATTAAATATAGACACAAATTGTAAACTTTGCGATCTTTAACAAGTTAATAAAATAAATCAATCATTCAAAATTGACTCATAAAATCTTGAATATAATGTTAGTAAGTGTGTCATCCTTGTAAAGATACACTAAAATATTCATCATCCCCTAGCCACTATGAATTTTGAAAAAAAAAATAACAAGAAAAAAACAGGGAGATATGGTATCATTAGCAATAAAACACCTATTCATCAGTGATCAAGCGAAAATAAAATAAAAAAAAAAATACAGGTCAAACCTAGATTATTCCGAGAAAAGGGCTTTTTTGCTAATTAAAGTTAAATTTTGTAAAACTTATCTGACGACTGAATGGTCTATTATAAACATAAATATAGATATAAATAGAAAGCAAACTCGTGCAATTGGATTTTTCTAGGTATGTTTGATTTTATAATATAGTTTAATAATATGGGTTAATCATCGTTTGTATCTCTATATGAATGAGTTTTTGTGGATCGAATCAGTCAATCAGATGGTTTACCCTTGTTTCACTTTCAATTGTGACATTCTTTTCCTTTTCATAACTGAACACGCCTAATTCATGCGTAACCCATCTTTAGCTAAGTGGTTAAATTGAAGGTCACATGAGTTCGGATTCAATGAGGTCGAGTTATTCACTTGTAAGTGAATAATTCACCAGTGATGTTTCTTAGCTTGTTTTGACAAAATGGAACCAAACTGGCTGCTAAGACCGAATTATTATTTCACTATTACACTTTCATTAATGATTGAACAAAAACAAATTATACTTTAATTTTTTTTTTATCTTGTAGCTAATTTCTCTTTAAGATACTTCAACATTATTTTTTTTACTTCATCTAATTAAACAAGAATAGGTAAAAATAAGCGAAACATAACTTACCATAGGTGAAACTACATTCGAATAAAAATGATAAATGATACTTGCTATAACATTTTAAGTATGTATTGCTGTATGCATTCAAAATTTCAGACAAGCCAATAGTATTGATAAACCGCGAAGAAACAATACCACTATTTGAAGGAGAAAAGGCATCACTGTGCTGCGAAATCGACAGTAATCCGCATATTAGTTTCATGTTGTGGTCTAAAGATAGCATAGACATCACGAACACTATGAACCCGTCTTGTTTGTTCTTCAAACATTTGAATCGACAAGACAGGGGTAATTACACTTGTCTTGCGGGAAATGAAATAGGAAATGGATCGTGTGAGACATCACTTACGGTATATTGTAAGTCTTGTTAAACGTTATTTTTCATTGTCTTGTTTTTCATGTGTGTTTTCATTAATTATGTTTTTTTAAATAACTATTGAATCTGGACGTGCTGACTAAATTAAACAGAGGAATAGAGAAAAAAAGACGATTGAAGAAAAAAAATGAAACGATAATTATACGTAACGGTTAAAAATATAATACTGTCATATTATCAATACTTTATATTCATGATAATACTCCCACAATAATGAAGAAAAATAAATAATGTTTTGATTTGAAGAAAAAATAACCTTAAAATGTAAACTTTCACGCATTTTCAGACCCACCTTCTGTCTACCTTGAGAACAAAAACTTTTCTATAAATGAAAGCAAAAGAGTTGTTCATTGCAAGGGTGACGGGGAACCAAATAACATAACATATTTTCGTGTGGAGCATACATCCTATTTCGATGAGCATATAAGATATTTGGCAGTCTCTTCTGATGGCATTGCTAAACTGCCACCTATGAAAGAATCAAAAAGATATCAGGATACTGGTTTGTACCTGTGCAATGCTTCTAATGGTGTTCCGGATGAAAAAGGAAACACATTGCAACGTGCTAAAGCTTACCTAGTGTCACCAGGTGAGTAGAATTATTTGTAATGCAGAAAATGAAAACAATAGCATCGAAAACCGTGATGTAATATAATCCGTACACTTTCAAAATCATTAAAAACTCATCAAAACTACCAGGATTATATAAAATTGGGTACACCAGACGGGAGTTTCGTCATTATAAGGCTCATCAGTGAAACTCGAATCAAAATAGTTTGAAGGTCTGATGAAATACGAAGTTGGCGACCATAAACAAAAGAAAAAGATACAAAAATTATGCAAAAATATGTTTAAAAAAAGGAAAATGATACACCAACACAACAACGTAATATAACTAGCAGGAACTATTTCATTACATTGTTTGTCTCTATGATTTGTTTTGGGTTTTGCACAGGATCCAGTCTTTTTGTACTGTTGCATTATGACATTTTATATGATGAACAACATCAATTCAAAGTGTAGGACTGAATGATTTCTTATCACTAGGCTTAGTACAGAACTTTATGTTTTTTTTTCATTAACTGCAAGCATTCTTCAAATGAATACGGTGTATTTTGTTATTTATCTTGTGGCTTTTCTATTATCAATTATACCGTTAGTTTAGACTAAAGTGCTTTTAACAGTTTTTGGTTTTTATTGTATGATTTCGTATCTGCGTTTTGTTAATCTACGGATTGTGATAAAATATGGAGAAAGGTGGGATAAAAAACGTGTTTAACCCAGCTAAACTTTCGTATGACTCGTCAGAGACATTGAAAGTCATATCATAATATTTTTCGTCATTTACAGAAATTCAATATTTTATAAAAGATTAAGAACTTGATTTGTTGTTGAAACACATAACAACAAGTCAAGTTCTTGATTTGTAGACAGACAAATGCTTTATTTAAACTAAGGGCTGTTGTCAATGATAAATTACTAAACAATTTTACTGCATCCGTTGCGTATTGCGAAAATTAAGGTCTGATCAGTGCCACTCGAGATCAAATAATTTGAAAACAGAAACCATATTAAACATTGAAAGCCACATGTGGAGCAGGTTCTGTACCCTGTCGTTGCACTTGAGATCACCCCCCCCCCCCCCCCCCCCCCCTTTTGATGGGGTTCGTGTTGTTCAGTCGTTAGTTTTCAATGTTGCGCTATGTGTACTGATGTTTGTCTTTTGGTCTTTTTTTTTTTTTTTTTTGCCATGGCGTTGTCAGTTTATTTTTGACTGATGAGTTTGAATGTCCCTTTGGTATTTTTCGCCTCTCTTTTAAACATGTTTGCGAACGCCAAAACCTCCTCATAACATTGGATGATTATGTAACATCACAACATGAGAACTAACTATAAAAATAAGTGTAAAAGGCTTAACTGTTAAGATTTAAACAAAACAAACACAACTAGCAAAAACAGAAAATACACAAAGTACATATCTGAGAGTACTCGCAGGTACTGAAAGCTTGTTCAAAGCCAATAACAACTAAACTATGAATTAGTACACAGTCATACAATATCCATTTTGGATTTAGTTCAAAGATGTCTTTATCCGTCAGAGAAAATCATAATCTTGTGCAATGCCAAATTATAGTTATCTACAGAAAGAAGGACCATGTATTGCTAACAAAATCATTGTCTGTGGTTGAGAGAGGGTTGGGTGCCCGGTTACATGTTTAATCCAACCACATTCTGCATGTACCTGTCTCAAGTCAGGAGCCCTCTGGTCCAGTGTCAATATTTATACCATTAAAAACAATATTCAAAGATGTAATAACATTGTTAAATTGGTTAAATTTAAAAATAAGTTTATTAAAAGGATCTCTTATTTGACTCGGACCATATCTTAATTTTCGGGCTCGGTTAGCAATCACAACAATGGTCTCTTTTGTCGTAAATTATTGTGCAGAGTTTCCCGTGTAAAAGTGAAATATCTTAATCTAGGAAAGGACAGTTATTGTTGTTTATATTTGATTAAAGTAAAGTCAGATTCTTTGTGTAAATTTCGGCAGTATATTAAGAGAATTCTTGATTTTTTATAACGAAAAATTATTATTAACATAACTGAAAATAATTATTTAATTTTGGATGTAACACGTCTTCTGATTGGCTGAAAGTTTTTTGTCTATCAGCTCATATACTTAATTTTGTCATGTGATTTTGACGTCATCAACTTATTTTTCATGATTTACTCATTAGAAATGGAATTTAGAATTAAATTATGAGGAATGACTGTAATATTTTTTCTGTCCATTCGAAATAACCAAAAAAATGCCGGTTATTCAGTGTGCACAACATATTTGATGGTATTTCTTCAAAGACAGAAAAAAATATTACAGTAATTCCTTAAGCGTTGTTAAATTTATCAATTATGTGAAATTTAGACGGTTCTTTACTGAGTTTGGCCATATACTGTTAATCTTAAAAATACAGGTCTGCTATTAGAGGGTGAAATGGGTGTCCATAGAAATACCTACAACCTGTCGATATAATTTATTGCTGAAACGTGTATACGTGTTGTCAAGAAGAAAATTTACAGCTTTTATCATCTCATAACAGTATATCTAGCACATTTACCTTTTTCATTACAAGAGAAGCCTTTATATGAGTTACAGCAGATACATTTGAAATCCGATTTTTCAAACGAACATTTAATCAAATAGGATGATGATAAGATTGTGTGGAAGTGTAGTGAAAAGACTTGAAAGTCAAAACTGTCAAAAACAGTCACATAACTTTTCACTGTACAAATAGTTAATTACGCTATTTTCATATGCTTTATTACAAAAGTAAATGGTAAACTATTTGATAGTAGTTAAGGAACTAGTTAAAACACTGAAAGATAAGTTGTAGAACACTTACAAAAGGCCGATATGAAACGATATTTTACGGGTTTTCTTAACGTAGTTTAGATAACCAATACATAGAAGGAACCTGCAAAAGTTCCGAGGAGGCCTTAATATGAGATGTGGTAAGCATATGATAATTTACTATATGACTCTGTGTGGAGCGCATGGGCCTGAATGTAAGAAAGTTACTATCCACCAGAGACCACATGACGTGAATGTTAGCAACACCGAACGGTCTTTACAAAGGTGCAAATTCCAAAACGTCGTATAATTGATAAACGATCCCGACATGCAAAATGTACATGTAAAACAAATCAAAAGAGAAAACCAGCACTAATAAATACATGTAAGGATAAAACGGTTATTTTGATTTAATGCCATCTGAACATTCGAAACAATAACTTATCTGTATTGGTCATACTTTAATCAATTTTAAGACTAATTAATCAAAATTGACAGAACAGTACTGAATTTATCGCGGTATATAAGTCTAAAAAGACTTAAAATGACTAAAAACATATTGAATTAGTTATAAAAGAGCTGCTCATATCAACATGACTGTTTAAGATAAAATGTGTTGTCTAGTTCAACGGCCGGGTTTAGAGTATTTGTGAGTGCTCATCCCTCCACAACCAAAGATAGTGGTGTAATATCATAATATAACGGCAATTTGTATATATCAGCGGGAAAGGGCATTATTCGTACGCAAACACTTACTATAAAGCTGCCAAAATACTCTAAAAGTAGAAATTGTATCATGCATTTATTTTTTTTAGCGATTGCAAAAACAATAGACAAAATAGAATGCTAAGATTATGCATGAAGCAAGTTTTTACTTTTAGAAACCTACACATGCTATATCCAAACAATATTTCGAAATAATAAAAATCGCAATAAATTCGGAATCGACAGTACGATTCCACTTACACATTTTTGTTGAAGCCATTTCTTATTATATAATACGTATAACTGTTTAGGTTTAGTTTAGTTCGATCCGTGATGATATGTAAATCAGTGAAACCGGACGGTAATTGATGATTTTTTTTTGTCTTTATGATTTCTATATATAAATTTTTGATTACTTCTCCATATGCGTAATTAGATAAAAAGAAAGTAAACACACGAATACTACTACATTATACGAAAGGATAAAATAACGTATGTATATGATATATATATATATAGCATTTAGTTCATCCATGCATTTTGAATATTGATATATGAAAACAAATGTTTATTGTCATTTCTTTTGTATATAGGACAGCCAGTTTTTGTAGCTGACAACAAGAAAATCCAATATGGAGAAATTGGAAAACCAATGGATATAATAGTTAAAATTTACAGTACGTCAGAAATCAAATGTCTTCATTTGAACATATTGAATGCAATTGGAAGTCTCAATATAAAGGATATATCAAAGAAAAGTGTTCCAGTGAGGATGAATTTCCATGGTGTCAATATAACAGCAAACGGTATAGAAGTAACGTTTCGTCTTGTCAAACTGCAGAGCTTCCAATGGTTTAATATCACAGTGTGCAATAAATTTTCAATGAACAGTTTTATTTTAGAAATAAGAAAACGTGGTAAGAATCATGAAAAGGGCCTGGAATAATAATTTAAACAGATTTCTATTTTCTTAAATATGTGACCAAATTGAAATGGCCGTCATATTCATTTTATTAGGATAATGATTATACATTCCATATTCTACAATCGTAAACAAATTAAATCTGATAAAAGATATCGAAAATGGAAATTAAATTGAAAATGTATTAAGTTAGACAAAATCAAAATTTCATTCGTCGTAAAGATTATTGTATTTACATTAATGGTTCCAAATTTTACTACACCAGAGGCCAATTTTGACAATTAATCTCTCATCGATAATATCAAGTCCAATACATTTTTCAAAAATCAAAACCGTTATTAAAAGATTGAAGAGGTGACATACTTAAAAAGGACAAAAGCCTAGCCAAACCTGGATAAGGAATAAAAAATATTCTGGAGAAGGTACATTCAGTAGTGTAATATGGCGTGTTAAACACTGCAAGTAAAATATGGTGGGTATTGTTACAAGTTGTTGATGTTATGGCATATACGAGGTCTTTTTTGACACATATTTTTAATTGTGGTAAACCAAATCATAACTTCAACTTTCCATTTGGATGAACTAATTTGCGAGTAAGTAAGAAACCTCTATCAAGAAAATGTCACATTATATCATGTTAAACATGTGCAAGACCTGCTGGAAATTTGCTACACAGACAAAATGTAGAACATAGCTCTAACACTAACAGGTACTAATTCGAACTGTATTTAACGATCTTTTATATTGGCCTTAAATCAGAAATTGATATTGGTATAAAAAAATAACACCACTTAATTTTTCCTCATTTATTTTGTGAGATTTTCTAAAAAGTTATTTAGCGAACTCCCTCCCTATATTTTTCTAATCTTGGTTTGTATATTCAAAATGAGCTAAGTAAACGTGTTTTAAACTTCGGTAATAACTGATTCATCTAATATCAAATGACACCTTTGTGACGAGAATATTGCCATCTGTCGTCGTACAACACAACCGCAAGGCACCGATTTTGCACGATGGACTAATACATTGAAATTTCAGTGTACATCAATAGTCAACTTAACAATACATTCACAGAAATGTCAAAGATGTGTCAAATTCGTAATTACATTACTGAAACATAGACGACAAGTTGTATGAAGCTTTCACCGATAAAACATGCTCCGTTTTAACATATATATACATGTTTATATATTTGAAACAACAGCTTGTACAAAAATGTATATTGAGTTTAAAAAAGACGCATTTCGAAATAGCACTATATTGTATAGCAACTTAACGACAAAAAATAATACAAAAAACCCACATCTGTAATGTACACTTACATTTCGTCACCGAGGGTATCATCAGCTCAGTAGTAGGTACTTTGATACTGCCTTGATTTGTAACTAACCTTTCTGAAGTTGACCGTTTATAAATTTTGAAATTATAAAGTAACAAAGGTTTCAACTCCCTCAGGCAAAGTTGACTTTAGATGGATTTGGCTATTTTATAAGGTCCTTTTTTATCATATAGCTCTTCAATTGTTTCGGTTCTTATACATCATTGGCTTTTAAATGTACGGCTTTGAGCGCATCGGACGCATGAATTTTTTAACGTGTTGTTTTCATGTTTTTTAGTAATCACCTGTAATTTCAGTTTTCTTTCGTCAGAACTTTACTGTAGCTCACAAACTTTCAGGAAGAAAAATTAATAAATTAAAAACTTAAGAAGACACGATAGGATCCATTAAATATCACAAGTCCAAGAATGAATGACTACATTACAAAAAAAAAACAATCTCATTGACCTGTACAAAAAAAAAAATTAAAAAAAATGAATAATTGCATATTTTATTTGAATAACATCATGAACAGTACGGCTTTGATTCTTGTCATCATGCTTTGCTAGCTTATGAATTAATGCCTGTTGTAAAATTATAACCATAGGAAAAACTATATCTTGTTTTAGCTAAATCAGAAGAAAAAGCAATATCTTCCGAAGGCATTGGCATCATAGTATTACTCATCCTCATTGTAGTCCTACTGCTTGTAATGGGAATATATTTGCGTAAGTTCTCACTATCCGATAAACTCAAACAAACATGGAAATTGCAAGCATTAAGAAAAAGAAATGTAAATTACGGGTGTTCAGTCGAATAAATAAAACGTTTTTCCAAAATCAAATTTATATCAATTCATGCGATATAATGGAACCTTAAAGGGGCATTAGCTACGAGATATAAAAAAGAATAAATATGATTTTTTTTTGTTCAATCATTTTTGAAAGTGAAGTAACACTTCCCTTTTAGCAACCAGTTTAGTCCAATTTTGTTAAAATGAGCTAAGACACATCGCAGATGAATTATTCACTTGCAAATGAATAATTCGACCTCATTGAATCCGTATTCATGTGAACGTCAATTAAACCGTTTAGCTGGAGACGGATTACGCATGCATTCAGCTATTTAAGGGTAAATAATGTAAACATTGAAAGTGAAACAAGAATGAACCATTTGGTTGCCTGATTCATTCTTATACAGGTAAAATCGATGATAAACATACCTACAATATGAAATCAAACAGAGCTAAAAAAAATCCAATTGCACGTGGTCGCTAGCTATTAATATTTATATTTATATTTATATCGGGTTATATGACGGTCGGCAGCCTTCGGAGGTCATCTCGATGATTTATTTGATGAAGTCAAGAAAAACAAATACTCATAAAATGCTGATATAATTATTGAGTCCATGTATTGTTAATTGTTCATTTTATACTTTTTGTAATTTGGATTTTCGTTTTAGTATGTTATAAGTCAAATATGAGAATTTGAGTCAAATCAGTGAACAGGAATTTGACATATAATGCCCCTTTAATATGTATATGTATAATATACAAAAGCAGTAAATGGTAATTAGAGCGCCATTGATGAATAACGTTTCATTTAAAGTCCTTTGTGCCTTATAGAATAGATCTTACAGGTATTAAAATGGACAAAAATGTATCATTTCCTACAGCTTGATAGTACTGATCGATTACATAATACATAAATTACGGGTGTTCAGTCGAATGAATAAAACTCTTTTCCAAAATCAAATTTATATCAATTCATGCGATGTAATGAAACCTTAAAGGGGCATTAGCTACGAGATATAAAACAAATTAAATATGATTTTTTTTGTTCAATCATTAATGAAAGTGAAATAACACTTCGCTTTTAGCTGCCAATTTGGTCCAATTTTGGCAAAATAAGCTGAGCATTATCGCAGATGAATTATGCACTTGCAAGTGAATAATTCGGTCTCATTGAATCCTTTTTCATGTGAACTTCAATTTAACCCTTTAGGTGGAGACGGGTTACACATGTATTCAGCTATTAAAGGGAAAAGAATGTAAACATTGAAAGTGAAACAATAATGAACTATTTGGTTGACTGATTCGATCCACAAAAAAAAAATTTTCATACAGGAAAAATCGATCATAAACATACCTATAATATGAATTACGACAAACCTAGACATTTCCAATTGCACGTGGTCGCTATCTGTTTATATTTATATTTATGTTCATATTGGGTTATATGACCGTGGGTAGTCTTCGGAGGTCTACTCGATGTTTAATCAGATGACGCCTTGACAAAAATACGTACGAAATGTTGATACATATTATCGAGTTCATGCATTGTTAATTGTTTATTTTAGACTTTTTGTTATATGGATAAACGTTTTAGTATGTCATAAATCAAATGATTATGAGAATATGAGTTAATCGGTGAACATGAATTTGACAGCTAATGCTCCTTTAAGAAATTAATAGAAAACTGTAAATATAGTTCAACTTGCATTAGGAATTAAATGGGATTTATTTATCAAAAACGCACTTCGGAATAAAAATAACGTACATTCAGGGTTCAAAAGAAAAGACAACAATTATATAAAATGCTGAAGTTACATGTTTAATTTGAACCATGTTCTAATTACAGGGTACATTAAACAAAGATACAGAAAAAGGTGCGTTACTATTTGGCTCAAAATCAAACACGACTTACATTTTCATTTTATCTCAAACTTTGTGAATTTAAACTCTGTATGCAAAAACTAATCACAAATACCAGTCTTAAAATTAAAAATGCAATACGTGCGTTTAGTCTAAAATAAGTTAATAATTCATTGCTCTAGACGCGCGTTTTGTCTTCATAGACTCAGAAGTGGCACTTCAATAAAAAATATGGAAAACCAAAAAATTTACGAAGTTAAAGAGCACAGGAAACTTAAAATTATAACAGATCTGACAAGACATAGATAAGGCCATCAAAATCTTGTACCATTGTATGAACATTTAATTTACAGATAAAGGTTCCATTCATGGCTAATCCAAAACAATCATGACATTTTATTTGAAGAACTATTTGTATTGATTTATATGATTGAACATCGGTAAACTACTGTTGCCTTAATTGTTCATAAAACAGCAATTTTGTTAGGAGAATCGAGAATGGTAATAGGGAATGTGTCAAAAGTCAACAACCCAACCAAAGAACAGAACACAACCCAAGACAAATAACGGGTCTTCAACGCAACGAGAAAATCCCGCACCTGGAGGCGGGTTTCAACTGGCTGACCACAATAAAGAATACTTATTTAGCAAAAATGCACACCACACTCACCTCCGAATACATATTTTCTGTTCATGATGCTTATCTATACACGATCCTGATGAAGTTTCATACAGAAAAGGGCTTAAAATGCAACATATTTGCATGTCTGATTGTCTGCTTAAATTTGACTGTTGGTAGTACATGTAGCCTCCAAATAAATGCAAAACTAAAAGAAGACTGTAAAATCAATCGCTTGAAAAATATTCAAATTATGATAACGTATATGTTGGTGACTCGATGTTGTTGGAATAATGCAAAATTTTGCGCCCAATCATATCCGATGCATATGTATCAAATTATATAGCTGATATGAACTTTTAAGAATAAGCGACTATACCAAGGCGAAAAAAAACCCTCACAAGACCAAAATGACAAACAGCAACATGGTAAAAATACACAGAAACGAAATCATTGAATAAACCAAACAACAAAAACAAACTGGACAAATATCATTACCTCAATTTGATTTTCATGCAACAAATACGGTATTAACTTAATTTTGCTAAAACTGTTTAGCATTCACGCGTCTTTAGTTTTGAATCAATACCAAGTAATAATTCATCTCCAGTTTGTTGCTAAAAGAATACTTTTACTGAAAAGACATTCTCCGTTTAACAAAATCAATGGCTATCTAATTGAAATGGTCAAACGAATCATTCTTAATTTGAATGCAACATCGGTTGTAACGTTCATTTTGATTGGATAACAGCACCAATTTTAATGGCATCAATTCACAATTGCTATGAAAAAGTACGCGCAGACACAGACGACGTATGACAGATTTTAAATGTATGATTTGACGTTGTTTTCTGTCAGTTTCATTAGAATGGAGATAAAAATATTGTATTTTAACCTCCGACGGCACCAATTGGTGATTTGATGGTCGCAAATACCCGTTTACTGGATCCGCTAACGCGTCGCCAGTAAACTTAATTCGCGATCATCAAATCCCCAATTGATGCCGTCGGAGCTTTAAATACAATACAGTCTCCTAAAAGTTTTCAGATAATAACTTGAAGGTTTAACTTGTCATTGCAATGCAATGAAAAACGCAAAGGAAAATCCGCAATCAAAACAGAAACAGAACTCTTATGAAATATATTAATATGTTATTGTGTTTCCGATAATTGTAGGATGATAACTACACGAAATGATCAAACAGCTGAAAGAAATAGTGATGACAGTGCCCATTATATCGAGATTGTTGAAGATAACTTCGTACTAGCCACATTACCCGGTACGACATAAACAAAATCCTTAAACATGTTTAACACTAAGAAATATCGATAAAACAAATTAATATACGGTTATGTAACGCTTCCTACAAGAGAAATGCACGGAGAGACACGACGATTCAAAGCAAGCCCCGAACTTTCCATAATTTAGCTTGTAGAAAATTATCTTTATATAACTTTTAAAAAATGGCTAAACTGTTTTAATGTGTACCTTAAACTTAATTCTAAATCTAATTCGACAATGTCTTTCTACCTTCTTACATAAATAGTGTGTTTGGTCTTCGTCGTACATTTGGACTGTTATTCCAGAATCGCTCGTTATGCGCATTGAAATCAGTATCCTACGTTGATGATACTACCTAAGTCGGTACAGCAGTTAGTTGACTTACATTCGAAAAGGTACAAGCCGTATCATTTTTATAAATTCAGTATGTTCAAACCTGTTTTAAATTTAAAAGTACAATAATGTACATTTTATGATTCCAGAACATAACAACCAGATGATTTCAACAGACTCCAGATTAGTTGTTGAAAATAGGAACATATCTATCGTGTCTGAAGAACAGTATTTGGCATTGTCGAACAATGACACCGATACTTCAGAACATACAGTAGCATCATCGGACAATGAAAGTATTGCTTCAGAAGATTTGGACGATGGATATGAACGGCCATACACGACCCTGGTGGCACATAACTATGTTGAAGATGAACATGGTTACAGCAGTACAAAAACGAGTTCAATCTATGATAATTCTTCTTCTTTACAGAACACCACTTGTAGACCTTGCTTTCCGTTCACCGAACAAGATCCTTCACAGGATAATAAAAACACACATTTCTTTGCAGATAACGGTCATGAAAATACAAAACGAAATACTGGAGAATACATTAACTTGTCCCTTAAACAATGATACTGTAAAAATGAATTTGATTGTCAATTTCTGTTGAATTACAGTATGACACACGATTGCATACTTTAATTTTGGCACTGACCTTGAAATCCAATGCAATAATAATTATAACATAGATTTCAGTGAATTCCTTATATTAGATTGCATAATTGATGATTGAATTGCAATCACTCATCCATCATCATTATCTTACTTTTCAAAAATCCACAAAACGACATTCCACAACGCAGCACACATACAACTAAATATTAAGGCACTATCATAAGAGAAACAACCGAGGCGAACATTGTTTGTTCATCACATGTACAAATTTGATGGTCGGTCGAGTTCATTGATGTATTAAAAAATAAAAAAGACAGCAATAAAGGGATTGTAGGTAAGACAGATGAAACATGTCCATGGCCAACTTTGATGCATATACATGTATGTCATAACTGTCTGATGTAAAAGTATAACCCTACTTTAACCGCAATTGTTTTTTTTTTTTCACATTATGATCAATGCAATGATACATTTCTACATTAGCTTAAATGGTTATCTGATTGCTTTTAATTGGTGAACGAAAAAACAAACCAAATAACATTGCAAAAGTGTGTTTTGCCTTGTCTATAAGTTTTGATAATAATACATCAATCTTTTTTTCTATTTGTTTTTGTTTGTTTTGCCTAAGACACAATCCGTTTATGCAAATTTCTCTGTCATTGATTCTTGAACTTTGATCTTCCCCATGTTTACAAAAATTCAATGGAAAAGAGAGAAAAGATTAAAATCGCATAAGCTACAAGATACAAAAAAAAAATTCAAATATGATTTGTTTTTGTTCAATCATTATTGAAAGTGAAATAATGAAATAATAATTCGCTTTTAGCAGTTTGGTTCAATTTTGTCAAAATAAGCTATAAAACATCGTCGATGAATTATTCAGTTTCAAGTGAATAATTTGACCTCATTGAATTCGTATGCATGTGACCTTCAATTTAACCCCTAAGCTTGATATTGGTTACGCATGTTACTGTTATCAAAAGGAAGTGAATATCAACATTGAAAGGGAAACAAGGATGAAACACTTGGTTGACTGATTTGATCAACACAAATCGTTCTTATACAGGTAAAAACGAAGATAAACTTTTTAACCTACAATATGAAAGCAAATAGAGCTGAATAAATCCAACTGCACGTGGTCGCTATCTATTTATATTTATATTTATGTTTATATCGAGTTATATGACCGTCGGCAGTCTTCGGAGGTCATATCGATGATATATTAGATGACGTCTAGAAAAACAAATACTCACGAAATGCTGATACATATTATTGAGTCCATGTATTGTTAAATGTTCATTTTAGACTTTTAATAGTTTGGATTTTCGTTTTAGTATGTTATAAGTCAAATATGAAAATTTGAGTCAAATCGGTGAACATGATTTTGATATTTAATGCCCCTTTAATATGTATATATATAATATACAAAAACAGTAAATGGTAGTTATAGCGCCATTGATGAATAACGTTTCATTCAAAGTCCTTTGTGCCATATAGAATAGATCTTACAGGTTTTAAAATGGACAAAAATATATCATTTCTTAAAGCTTCATTAGTATTGACCGCTTACAGAATACTTAATGAAACTTAAATTGATTATGAAAAGAACATAAGAGATATCGGCTTGACACGTATCAGCAGTTTTGAGAGTTGTTTCTTGCTTAAACACTTAAAGGTCAAAACTCGACACTTTTTTTTCAGACCAATAAGAAATTAACAATAACTAAAATAGTCATATTGTTTTTAAGTGAAGACAGAGAGATAATCAACAAAATATATCTAAAATTAAGGATAATGTGCAATGATGATCGTATATATGTAGCACTCTCAAAAGTGTCCATCCCCAAAAACGTGTCCGATTCCCCCATACGTAAAATTGAGAATGGAAATGGCGAATGTGTCAAAGAGACAACAACCCGACCATAGAGCAGACAACAACTGAAGGCCACCAATGGGTCTTCAAGTGTCTATTTCGCCCAAACGTGTCCTTAAAATTACAAATTGCCAAAAATGTGTTTGATTTCACATCTTCCAAATGTGTACGATAAATGTTTATCGCTAAAACGTCTCCAGTTTGAAACGCCAGAACGTCTCAAAAGTTTTATCGCTAATATGTCCTTATTGATGTCAATATTATTCACGGCTATTCAATGATCGGTTATACGATTAAAGACGTCGGGTTTCGGTTGGATTCTAAAAGAAATACCTAAGCCGCTATCCAAAAATATCTGAGGGAAAGGTGTAGTGATCCGTATAGACAAATGCCCAAGACGTGGTACACGATGCACAGCGACTTTCAGATAAAAAAAAACAGCAGACAAGAATATAAAGTTATTTTTACTTGCAATGGTTTTATTGATTTGATTATTATTGTTTTAAAATTTAAGATGGAGATATTTAACACTTAAGAAATCTAACACATTTTATATTGCAAGTTTTCACTATTGTTTAAGTGGTCTTATATTTGCATAGTTTGTTCAACGCTGGCTGGTCATATTAAGCAAAATTACAAGATCAATTTGCTACACATAACGCAATTTTTGACTGTTGATTACTTGATGTCAAGTGGCAAATATTTCTTGCATATCGGGAGCAAACATAGAAATTGTAATTAACTATTTTTGTACAATTTAATTCATCGTTTACTAAGTGAATTCTTTTGTATAAATATATTCCGGTGATGCATAACTATCTTGCAGTCATTTTTAAGCCTTCAAAAAAGAGACGTTTTCGCTTCATATGGACACGTTTGGGCGTTTTAAAAAAATAGACACAGTTGGGCGTTCATAAAAAGAACCTGTTTTGGCGCCCTATAGCAACTAGACATGTTTTGCAGTTCAGTGACATCATATGGACGCGTTTGGGGGAATCGGACACGTTTGGGGGATTGACATGTTTCTGAGTGTAACATATATATTGTTAGATTATTTTCATGTGGCGACCAACGCGTTTAATGTCGTCAATAAATGTTAAAATTTCCTCATCAACTGATAACTATTTTCCTGTTTTGACAGGAAATTCATTTAAAACAATAGGTTTAAATAGTACATGTTGTATCATATCATTTCATCTGACCTGACTTATTGTTTGAATTCCATACTGAAAGAGCAATTTCCTTTGTGACAAATTTTAGGAAATATTTGTAAAATTTTGATTCGATTAAGCGTTGATAATTTTTGTATCAATAAAAGAGACATGTGAAAAACGTCAATAAACATCTGAGCTGCATCAGTTAACTTATTTTGGGTTGAAACGATCTCTATGCTAAGTCTGCAAAATTATAGAAAATTGAGTTGAAATAACGACCACAATTCTTCTTTTATTTCTTATTGAATGCTCCAAAATAAATCAAAGTCTTATACATTTACATGTGTACGTGCACTTGCATAAGGTCGATTTCTATTTGTTTGAGGCAGCTCCATTCTGTCAATAAAGTTCTAATGTATTCCTGGAAAATGCTGTTTTGCCCCTAAACATAGAAACACTTCAGAAATATTATCATTCTTTTTCCGAAAAGTAAATAAAGTATATCATAACTATAGGTCACCGTACGGCTTCAACAATGAGCAAAAACCCTACCGCATAGTAAGCTATAACAAGCCCCGAAATAACAAATGTAAAACAATTCAATAAACTCACCATAGCTACCAGGTTTAACAAGTTTCACCAAAAATTCTGAAATGTTTTGTCAAATACAGCTACGGTTAACTATTCCTGGGGTTAAAATCCTTAGTATTTCTAAACAATAAACACAAACACTATTGATAAAAAAAAGTCATCAAACAACAAAAGCTGAATTACAGGCTCCTGAATTTGGACACACATATACAATTTGTGTTGGGTTTAATCATGTTTTGGCCGCGCAGCCATGATCAAATAATTTACTTTTTAGACTTTTCAGATAGTGTTCAGATTTAAGACTAAAATGCATATACTAGTGTATATTAGTCTTGAGATTATGCAGCATTGCTCATCGATTCACATGAACTTAACATCAATAAGACTAACATTCAAATATACATACAGTCTTCAATGAAAATTAAAAAGATAGAAAGTAGGTGCTTCTTCAGAAAATCTAGTATATGTCCAGCTTCCAATCATATAGAGTATGCAAAAATGAAATTTAAGATGAAGGACCTTTAAATCTTACAGCAGACACAAGTAACCGTAACATAAATGTATTTTTGCATAAAACGGATAGGAAGTAAGAAGGACACTTTCAAATTACTGTTATGCTTTGGTGATACAAATTATCCCATTAGTTGTTGTCTTTTTTCACAGTTCCTTTCCTGGATCCTATGAATGTTTTAATGTAACAGTCCCTTTCCTGGATCCTATGAATCTTTTAATGGAACAGTCCCTTTTCAGATTTTTGATGATACTGACGGAAAAAGAGCGCTCCAATGGAAAGGTCTTAATTTTTAAAAGAAAAAAATCTCAAATGAAAGGCATAACAAATCTTTGTGTTTTCGCAAGATATCTTCACTAGAAAAGTTGAAAGTCATACCAGAAAAATGCTGTTGATGCTACTGTAAATAAGATAATTGACCATATATGGGTATGATTGATTGTTTGATTATTGTTGTTTTATGCCACTTTAATCACTATTGGCCATATTGGGGTGGTTAGTTTTTAAAGGTGGAGGTAGCTGGAGTACAAGGAGAGAACCACCGGCCATTCGACAGGAAATCTGAGAATCCTAGTTAATGAAGATTTGACTCGAACGCAGCTGTCACGTGCAAGGTTCGAACTAACAACCTCAGTATTGACAGACAAGTGCTGCAGTAGATGAACTACTTAGACCACTTTATTGTCGATGAACTTTTTTAATGTTCGATTTAATTATAATACAATAAAAAGTGATTACATGTAGACATTAAAATAATCGATACTGGCTTTGATGTGTTGTTGTTGACCTTAACTTACTGATGTAATTTATTTATTTTATGGTGTCAGTCATGCTATTTTATCAGTCAAGTGATATTGGCGACAATTTTAATGATGTCTTGAATGAGTCTAGTAAAAACAACAAATATTAAACGGATAGTGTATCTATTTAGACTACTGCCGATGGGTCATTATATGTAGGCATAGGAATATGCGTTTCAACCATTAATTACAAATTTTAAATTTCAAAATAATAATACAGATACAGTTTATATATTCGAAAAGTTTTTTTTTAATTTTAATCCAACGACTAAAACAATGGGTTATTACTTCCGAATAAACCTTGTATTTCCTGACAAATGAAATCGTTACGATTGTAACAATTTTTTCAATTGTTTCATTTATTCAAGTAGCAATATGCGAAAC